GCTGAAGTTGACCAGAGTGACTGGGACGAGCATGCAGAACGTCTCATGTTCGCTTTGAATACCTCGTTCGACGCTGCAAGATTGGACACTCCGTTTTACCTGGTCCATGGCTGGGACGCCAGGGAACCATATCTGCGATGCCGGGCTCGAAGCCATCCACAGTCCAAGAACGAACGGCCTTGGAGTGGTGTCGGAAGATGCAACGCGATTATAGCTATGCCCTTGCGTGTGCTGAAGACTTGCAAAAGAAGGCAAAGCGTGCGAGATCTGCTGCACAGACTCGTAAGTGGAGAGAACTCTCGAATCGTGTAAAGGCAGGTTTCGAAGAAGGTGATTCTGTGTGGTTGTACATTCCCAAGGTCCGCACGAGGTTGAGCCGCAAGTTAACTCACCTGTGGCTCGGCCCTTTCCTAATCGACGAGGTCCATGATGACGTCAGGGTCAAGCTCAAGATCCCAGGCACAGGCTACCGTGTGAACCCGTGGGTCCACATTAGCCGCCACAAACCGAGAGCCTGTTCCCTAAGCGACCGACCTCAGAGATACAAGTCTCAGAAGATGATGATTTTGACGCAGTTTTGCTACCCGAGGATAGTTGGGAGCCAGACACTGCCCCAGACGAGTATGAGGTCGAAGAGAGTGTAGATCTCGGGGGGCGGATTAAACGTACAAGGACCTCCAAACGTTCTCAAGAATATCTGATCAAGTGGACAAACTACCCAGATCCAGAGTGGATACCTCTAGCCCAACTTAATTGTGGAGCATTGCTATACGAGTTCGACCAGGGCGCTAAGGCGAGAGCGCGTTTCCAAGCTATGCAAGCTGGGGACAATCACCCTAGGAACTAGGGCCGAAGGCGAAGTCCAGCCCAAGGAACCCGTATGTGTGAAACGGATGGTATTGATTTTGAGAACGGTGAGTGGTCGTTTCCTAGATCCAGCGAGGATCTCAGAGAACAACCAATGTATTAGTGAGTGTCGAGACAAAGATTATCGTTAAAGCGGTGAAGAAGTCAAGATACGAGAACGCAAAGTGGAGAACGATTAGTATTAACGAGTTACTGTCTGAGACTGAGAGAAAGGAGA